AATATTTATCATAATTCCCAGTGTCACTAAGTTAAAGGTCTGACGCTGGGAATTACGATAACTACTATGACTTCCAACAGGATGTGTTCAACCAAGTCACCCTGACAGCAAGACCAATTTGCGAAAAGTTTTCTTAATTGCCAATCCAGCCATATATACCACTTGGAAGAGGTCTGAATTGACTTAAATACCACATCTGCTCTCTGACATAATGGCACACGTGGCTGTCTAGTGGAGTGATACCATCGCCATCGTGCTCCCAACCTGAATTCGAATCCCTTTGGGGTGCTGAAGAGACACTTGTCGAGACCGAAACTGAACTTCTTACATACTAAATGACCAGCACGTTGAGGCCCTCCAACCACTTTTTGATGGGCGAATCTGCCATTAGGCACAAGGCGAGTCTAACTTTTATAATTTACTTGAACTCACTGATGAATCTCATGAATAGTAAATAAGAGAACACCAGTACTTCCTCATCTCATCTGTTCCTCCTTTATTGAAACATGCCAAATTCAAGCTATAGTTTTGCAAGAAGGAGCAAGACTTACTAAAATTTGTGAACTAAATGCAAACTTTCGGATAGCCTATATTTTTGCTTGTATGGCGTGCTTTTCATGAAATAAAGATACTGTATTCTCTGGAATCCATATTTGCTCTAGCTCTCTAGCCTGAATCCTGCACAGAATCTCCCAAGTTATATAGGGACTGTACAGGCATTTCTTTAGGCCAAACAAATTCAAAAATAATTAACTACTCTCAAATTACTCACGAAGTAATTTGAATGTAACCTAGGCAATTTCAGCTTACTTAAATAGGACCGTTTTACATCAGGGCTAGTGTAAAATCATTCCTAAGGCCTATAGTAAAGACGAGATGCATTTCAAATATTTTGAATTTTATCAGAGTACTTTTTGTTCTTTAGGAGCGATGTTAATTCACGAAAGTTTACGTCCTGCTTTGAAGAGGATATAAAATTCATGATGCGATTTATAAATATGCAAATACAGAGATATAAGTTCATATCTAATCTAATCTAAAACTTGAAAATATACGTGCAGTGCTAATTCCTATGTTTTCGTACAACTGTTGAGATATGCCCTAAAATGATTAACATTTGAGTGCACTAGTGAAACTCACGTTCTCATGTCGGTTTACAACCGTTGGGTTCGCTTAACTCTCGAGTTCTTGTGGGGAAAAGATTTTTAGGTCAATCTTAGTATATAGTAAAGACTGACTCGTCATGGCCATCAGGTGTTTTTGCATCTTCTGATTCATCATTTTCTGCTTTGGGGAAAACGTCGGATCACTTGAAAACAGTAATCACGACTAGGTGCCATTCTTACAACTTTTTTAGGTTGAATCACTATCATCAATCAACTGTACATATTAGTAAATACAAGGAATTTTTTTGAGGCACAGTCTGATTTGGTTAGTTCATGTCATAGGCCAAATTTGACATTTTTTGCATTTGCGCTTGTGGTTGCATACAGATAGGAAACTAAGCCGGATAACTCTAAGCAATTAGCAAAAAATATAAGGATTTGATAAACGATGTTTAACAATTACTTTGATGGCGTAATGACGGGCATACATCTGGCTAAATTGCTGAGCCTATTACATGAACTTAAATCGTAACCAAAAAGTGCAGTCGAGCCACTTACGTTTTTTAGATTGCTCAACGCCCTCTCAATCCTTGAGTTTATTACTAAAACACAAGCGACTTATAAATAAGAGGGCCAAAATGGTGTGATTTGACATTATTTTGCGACCTGGTCATAGTGACAAGATTGCTCTGAAGAACTTGCTCAATCCTGACTCCTCTGCCATCAAATCGGCAACATCGAATCGTTGTCTTGATACTAGAAATTAGCAGGATTCTGGAAATTGTCACGAATAATACTGCACAGGACACACGACCACCTAAATTCTTCGATGTTTCCCTGACCCAAAAGTAGAATTAATTTCTCTTGTAGGTAGTTTTCATATAAGTAGTTTGTATAAAAGTAAAAAGAAAGTAGTATTTATAAGTAGTGTTTTTTTAATTTCTGCCTTAAATTATTGAACGACAACAACTTAGAGCATTTTCACGACAAATTAGTAAACTTATTGTCTAAGGAGGAATGCGTCGACCAGAGGTTATCAATAAAGCCAAACAATGGCTGATTAGTGATTTGATCTAAATAAGCGTCTTTTAATCGCACTTTTTCACTCGAAATGGAAGTGAGCTCAACACCTCCAACATTTGGCCGGGTAGGATGATGTCAGATTGTCAGTCGATCTTGGCAAACGAGAGATACTAATTATTTAGACTCAGTTACCAGAATTCTACTCTTTCTGTCATTCATCCGCATTTCTTCACTTGACACTGTCTTATCCTCGGAGCCCTATTCACATGAAACAGATTCATCCTCTTTATCTTTAGGCTATCTAAGTCGGGCCGATTCAGTAGCCTTAAATCTTGCAAGTTACAATGGGTTTAATACTAATGAAGGCATTAGAAATGAAGTAAATCTTATTGTGGTTTATAGCAGTTTTTTTATTAAACACAAAAACCAGAATTTTACCGAGTAAGCTAGCAAACACGATATCAAATCCCTCAGAAAAAATATGCATTAATAGAGGCATGCTTTGTCCTGAAAGTTGGATTGGTTGCGTAATGCAGTGAGGCTTAGGAGCTGAATTGCTTTTATCTTTAACTCGTATCTTCACAGTACGATTCCCTCTGGATTAACTGATGAGAAGATGGTGCGAGCTCGAGGCCCACCACCTACGAGGGATTTTAAAGGCTTTTTAGGTGTGAAAGCGTGACATTTAGTGCAAAATTGAATGATTTTAGGAGGACTGGCGAGGTAGATTCTCTCATTCATTTCTTTAATTTATTTAAGAGTAGTAGTGGCTCCATATTTACTATAATTTTCACAAGTTATTCTGTTTACGCGAGTCTTCGTTGTGTGGGGCTCATTTATTAATGTTCTACCTTTAGTAAATATAGCCTTCAATAAAGAAACTAATGTAAGGTCAAAATGACTATCTATGGAATGTATTTGGGGTCCCTATTGGCTAATATTTTCTTGTGACAATTAATGCCAACAAGAACTCGTATAATGTTGAGTAAAGCGTCTCAGTAGAACAGTGAATTTAGGTAATTATTCTCATACATGCCGAACTGACCTGGCTAGATGCAAACCATGTTTGTGAGGATCCGAAGAGGAACGCTCTAATCCCTGGGCATTATCAATTGATTCGAAGTATACATGAGATTCCTTGAAACTTCTGGTAAAACCGTCTTGCTGAGATGCTAATTAATGCAAAATATCTGCATGTAATAATTTATGTGTTCATTTATCTTCACCCGACTCGGATCATCAGCCCTGGCAGGATCCAAATCATAATTATAAGAATTCAAAAAGTGACACCATAATATCTGGGCCTTATGAGAGTATACGAAATAATTTGGTCTATTTTAATTTCATGGGATAAATTTTTCGTTAGGATTTCTTTCAGGGAAATATGAATCTATTTGAAAAGTAAAGAGGCTTCGTTAAATGTCTTATGATAAATGTTTTCGTTGGGATCTCAATTGGCGTGAAAATTCCCAATGTAACTATTCATGCCTTGATCACATTCCGCCTCAGTCGGAGCTTCGGCCTTGGCGGGATTCGAACTATCGTTGTAAAGAGTTGAAGAGGGACCTGCATATCCCTGGACCTTATGAATGTAGTCGAAGTTTAATTGTGTTTCCTTAAATTTCGTGGGGTAAATAGATTCGGTGAGATTTCTCTAATGGTCTTATTAATCTACTGGAAATGTAAATGTGTGTCAAACACGATGAGTAGCTGGGTTTTGATGAATCTCTTAAGATAGCATTATTGCTTTACCAGCTAGTTTTGTTAACTTAGGGCAAACTTGAATCTTTTGCAAGAATTGCTTACTGTTTTGATGATAACCTTCATAGTTAGAACAAAAGTTTGATCCCATTTCATCCAAGACGAAAAAAGATGTCTTATGGACTGTTTAAACTTGAAGGTCGTATTAAGAAAGAACAATGGTAGGATCTATTCCTCAAGCAGTTTCATATGAAAGATAGTCTTCACAACAATAAAAATAAGCCCCGTTGATTCTTCTAGGATAGATATTTTTTGTTGAAACTATATTTAGTACAAAGGCTCCTGATGAAGCGATTCATGGTTTGATCTCGCCAGAAGACGAAGGTCGATGTTCGTTTCTCTGTAGTTATTGAGGTATTCTTATAAAGTTCCTGAAAAAGCCGACAGTCGTTTCTTCCGTTATCTGACAGGCATCTGCAGAGTTAAATCTCGTTCTTACAAAGACCCTAAGCAGTGTCTAAGTCAAGAAGTCTAATCTTACAACTATAGGATAGCTTAAAAATATTTTTTTTTCGCATTAAGTATTGTTTTGAGGCTACCAGTAAATCAGTAATATAAGATGTATTCACCCAATTTCGTTTAAGGTGATGAAGGACTGGTGGAAGGCTATGTGAAATTCAATGGAAACGTCAGCTCAACTCATATCATCGTAGGAAATTTCTTTTACCAGTCCTTCATCACCTTAAACGAAATTGGGTGAATACATCTCATATAAAAATATACAAATATGGATATATATATTTATATATATTTTTTAATCACTTCATTCTAGTGCAAAATCAAAGTATTTTTTTGTTAAAGTTTGTTCTTACTACTTATTTAATGCGCATGCCAACTTAGCCAGATATATGTTTTGGATTGTACAATCTTGAACATGCCTTTTCTATTGCCAATAAGCCGACACTTTTATAATTATTCAGTATTAGGACAGTTTCTTCCATATCATGACTCACGCACTTACGCACACGCATACACATGTGCATCATTCTATATCTATCTATATATGTTCAGTCATTTTTAATAGTAGGTATATCTATTATCCAATTTGGAACCGGCTGATCTTCTTGACTTGGTGTTAACTTGAAACTTACGTAAGAATGACTTACAGCTCTGAAGATGCCTTAATGGCTCCTGGTTGCCCAAAAGTGAGGAAGATGTTACGTGGACTACGTCATTCTGAACGGCCTTGTCATAGAAAACGACTTCAGATCCACAGAACTCACCCATCCTCTGAATAGAGATATGCTGGATTTCGCAGTATTTATTAAAAATTATTATTTTGCGACAGGGTTTGAGCATACTCTCAGAGGTGCCAGCAAATTATAAAGCTCTTTGGCTGGACAAAATTACACCCTCTAATTAGGGATTTTTTGTTTTACACAAATATACGTTTTTTCATATCCCGTAATGATAGATAAGAGTGGAATTGGCCGTAATCTTTGTAAAGATAGGCCAGGTCGACACTGTTAATGAGCGCTATCAAGCGGACATCTTCCTTCAGGCTCGTTGGAGAGAACCGTTGCTAGACGCCACTTGGAACTCAAATCGACTTGTACAACAGAGACATCTCCAAAGTTTCGTCCAATGGCAGAATATACAAAATCGCATCGAGCTAGAGGCGGCGTCGGTACAACGGCAACAATTGGTGCCCAAAACCAGCCTCGGTATAAGTTCCAGTGAGCATCTTTGTCTCTCATTGTTGATTCCGACGCCGCCGTTCTGTCCAGATGAGGTGAACAGGGACTATCAAGTGTTCGGAGGAGGTACATCAAAACCCGAGAGGATGGAGCCCCAGGCAATGAGCATTTCTGTGATGCCTGATTCGGTGCAACATTTGCCAGACCCCGTGTTGCCTGGACACCATTTGCAAAACAATCCTGTTAGACTTGAGCCCCGCTGCTACGAAGCTTCCAGTGCTTGCGAACAGGAGCGTAATCACAGTTTACTTGCCGATTTTTTTGGGCTACCTGATTCCAAAAGCCCCCTTAGATCCTCAAAGTGGCCTTTGTTTGTAGCTGATGTCATCAAGCACTCATCTCCAACACTTAACGAGGCCGACCCAAACCATGGTTCCACAAAGTCTCCGCGGTCCACAAGTGCCACTGCCATGACGGGCTGTCGACCAGGCATGGCATCGCTTCAAGACGAACGCCAGCTGGGCTTTTCACTTCCATGCGTCTGCCATGAGATGCGTCAGGACGTTGGGTCTCTTAGTTTTAACGAGACCGCCAACAGACAGGCCACCTCATCACAGCCAAAAGATGCTACAGGACCAATTAATTTGACCTCAACCAACGTAAGCCCTAAACTACTTTTAATGTAATAAACGTGTGCCATTGCACTCATTACAAATGTTTATTCTTCACCGCGCAATGCTGTGAGCTTAAAAGGACGTATTCAACTCCTGGTCCATGGTTCGAATACTGAAAGGCTGAAAGACCAGAATAGCAGTTTATAGCTAGTTTTATCTATCATCGGTATGAATTGGTGTGTATGTTTCGCGCCATCCATATCCTACACACCCAAGAGAGTCACTGGGTTACAGGGCGAATGCGAGCCTCTTCCAACTCACATTTGTAG